AAATCAACTATTTTGTCTTGTGTTGATGTTCGCACAAGGAGCACTGACGATCGTACGTCGCGCTTTCAGCTACACAGGCTGTCACCGAAAGCTGCCGGCCACACTAAGCCGGTACTTCCCCGACTGATATAAAAGAGCACGCAATTTTCAGTTGGTAATTTAGTACGCCTTCGTGAACTGACTCCCTGGCATACCTTTTCAGTAGATTGCATTGGTATTTTATGGGTGTTTTTTTTAATTGTTGGTATTCATATAACACTGCATATATCTGTACACTGGCACACCTGCTGTTTACAGCCAGCGGAGGCCCGAAAAACGGCTGTCGCTCGTCATCGCCACTCCGTAAATAGATATCTGGCATTGTTTGGCCTTCGGCTTACTTCAGGCACAGTTTAGGTAACAGTTAGAAATATAGCGAAGCTTAAATGCAGAAACTTCAAGCATCGCAACTCAGCTGCTTCGAAAGCAGCCTTACCCAGTGCCCCGTTCCAGCGAGGCCTATTGTGCCGCCCGCGTCATCGTACCTCCTGCCGGCGCTTTTTACTTTAAGTAGGCACAATTTCTAAAGTGTAAGAATGACTGTAAAGTACAGTTTAGACACCCCTGATCCGAAATCAACCATTTATCCGCGTGTGTGGTGCCCACACAAGGAGCAATGACGATCCTTGTGTCGTGCTTTCAGCAACGTAGGCTGTCATCGGAAGCTTCCTTTTGAGTGCAGCAGCCTTCACTTCACTTCACTTTATTTTCCTTAAAGACCTCGCAGGGAGGTATTACATAAGGTGTGGGGTTAACATACCGGTACTTCTCTGACGGGTACGTAACAACACGCAATTTTGAGTTGGCACTTTGGCACGCGTTAGTGAACTAACATACTGGCATACTTTTTCAGCGGATTGCATTATCATTTCTTCGGCGGTTTCTTAGCTGCAGGTATTGATATAATGCAAATATGTAATCTGGCACGCCAGATGTGTGCTGCTACATCGTTGCTTGCACGAGAAAAAAATACTCAAAATTCACTCGTGTGCGTGGACATCTACCAAACAAGACAAGGGCAAGCACTAGAAATGGCTTTCAAAAAAAAAAAACCAGGACGATCGGCAGCGACAGCTGACAATCTGTGGCTGCTCCGCCTGTGAATTTGAGAACTTTCAGAGTTAAGATGTAGGTGCTTGAAAAAAACATTGCGCTCTTGTTAATATCTGCACGTCATTCGGTGTGCGGAAGCCGTTCGTCCTGTCGAATCAAGACGCAATAGTTATTTGGAAAGAAATGTCGTTTCAGTCTTGACTGTGCGACTTGTAAACACGTGGCGCGTTCTTCGGATAAATAGTCGTTTTAGAACGACATAAGCACGTTCTTGCGTGGCGTAGTGGGTAGCATACTGGAGGCAGCGAGTTCAAATCCCGTGAAGCGGTGTTTTATTTTTTAATTTTTATTTTTTATTTTAATTTTAAATGCGCGTTATTTTACCTATATATATATATATATATATATATATATATATATATATATATATATATATATATATATATATATATATATATATATATATATATATATATATGCATTTATTCATGGCGAATGGGCGCCCCCGTTTTATACCTGGGAAGCCATTTTGCGCAGAGTACTGGGACGCTGCTGCTCCAGCGTCCCAGTACCTGGCTGGGAGGCGCTGGTACCAGCGCCATACTGGGCCCATAATCAGGCATGTCACTGGAAACTGGTACCCAGTGGTGCTGGTTTTTGCAATAGGGATCTATCTACATATCCATCTATTTATCTATCTATTTATCTATCTAGCCACCTACGACTTTTAGCTCTCCTGGTCGTTTGAATAATGGTATCAATACCAAACTTTGTATGGCATAACATGACTGTATGACGAGCATATTTGACTAGTCATAGCGTGAGAATCATGACGTGTATAACATGAATGTCAAGATTTACTTTTATGATCTTGTTACTCTTGCGGTGTTCTCGTTCACATGACATGTTGCTAAACTGGTATGGTTTGACATGACTGCACGGGAACACAAGCGACAGACCCCAACGTGGAAATTATGACATGCATTTCATGTATGTCATGAGTACACACCACGCTCATGATGCGTTCGCAGCCGTCTCACTAGCTTCACGTATACCGAATTCGGCGTCACATGATGCGAATGGATGACGAAGGTATGTGACTGGTGAAAACATGATAATCGTGAGATACGTGTCATGTGACATTATGACTACAAGCCACACTTATGATGTCCTTGCAGCCGTTTCGCTAGTTCACATACACTAAACTGGGTATTACGAGACGTAATTGGAGGACGAAGGGTTGTGACTGGTGCAAGCATGATAATCATGTAATGCGTGTCATGTGCAGACTATGCCAGTCAAAGAACCACTTCGCAGCGTGCTGTCGAAAGGCAGCGCAAGTCGGCGAATTGAGGAACGACTAGGATGACTTCAGCATTTTGGATGTTTGTGTGGACTGCGTAGGAACCAAACGTGACTGGATGGTCAAGGCGAGCGTTGGTGGTGAGCAAGTTTTTCTGAAAATTGACACGGTTTCACAAGCAAATCTACTGCCATTTGCCATCTACAAGAACATCAAACCAAGACCGCTCCTCAGACAGCATTTCAAAGCTAAGATCGTACAGCGGATTCACAATCAAGCATGTGGGCGTCATCAGCGAACAAGTGGTCATCGGGTGCCAAATCTGCAAGCTGAATGTTTTCGTTGTCAAGAAGGGACATCAGGCGCTGCTTGGGCTGAACGCGACGGAGCAGCTCGGTTTGATTACCAGGAACGTGGATACTGTAACAAGCCCTTCTGAAAAACTTCTGCAGGAATGCAGCAGGGTTTTTCAAGGTAGCGGCTGCGTGCAACGCCAATACAAGATAGTGCTCAAGGAAGGCTCAGTTCCAATTGTACAAGCAGCCTGGCGTGTACCCTTGATCCTGCGAGAACCACTGCGCAATGAACTGAGGCGAATGGAAGAAGCCGGAATCATTGTCAAGGTCAACGAGCCGACAGACTGGGGGAGCACTTTAGTAATTGTTAAATAGAAAGACGGAAAGCTAAGACTGTGCGTGGGTTCTAGATGGACCAACGAATGCATAAAAAAGAACATTACGAGATACTACGCTGCGAGGATATACAAGCAGAATCGGCTGGTGCACAAATATTCAGCCATCTTGATGCGAAAGCAGGGTCTCATCAAATTCCACTTGATGACAGCACACCAAGAATATGTATATTTGCAACACCGTTCGGCAGATATCAATTTTTAAAGCTGCCGTTTGGCATCTCATATCCATTAGAAGTTTTTCAGAAAACGTTGGATGAAATCTTGGAGTTCTTGCCTGAAATTTGTGTACGTGGATGACAATTTCGTGTGGGAAACGTCAAGAGAGCAGCATGACAGGTGTTTAAAAGGCACGCTTGAAGCCGCAAAACGAGCGGGATTAGCACTGAATGCATAGAAGTGCAAAGTGGGCATCAAAGAAACGGAATATTTAGGTGATGCGATCTCTGAAAACGGAATAAAGTCTAACCGCCAACTTGTCAACTACATAGCGCACATACCGGCGCCAACCCAAAAACGTGGAGTTCAGCTGATTGCTCGGCGTAGCCAACTATTTTTCCAAGTATATTCCTTCGAGAGCAGAAGACTCCTGGTTTGCGCAGTTCAATCAAACGTGATGCAATTTCTGAATGGTCCCCCAGCAACGGAAAAAAACGGGCAAAAATATGCGAATGCCTGAGCAGGGGGCCAGTTCTGGCAATTTTCGACCCTCTAAAACAAACGAAGGTGGCGTCAGACGCCTCACTGGCTGGACTGGGCTCGACCCTTCTAACACGTCATGGCGATAGCTGGCATCCTGTGGCGTACGTACGCAGAACGCTCCCCTCAGTAGAACAACGCTACCCTCAGATTGAAAAAGAAGCCATGGTGGTGACGATCGGATGTAAGAAATTTTATTATTTCATCTACGGCAGAAAGATAATGTTGGAGACTGACCACCGTCCACCTATAGCTATCGCTAAAAAAGCGATCGGAGAAATACCGCCCAGACTTCAAAGATTATTCCTGCGGTTATTAAAATAAGATTTCACTATGCAATACATTCATGGAAAGCAGCTCATCCTGGCGGACATGCTTTCAAGAGCTATAGTTCCCGACCGAGAAAGTGACGCCGCTGGTGAAGAGGACTTCGAAATGCACGCCGTGAGTATGCTAGCAGATTTTGTAACCGATGTCACGCTAAAGCGGCTCCAAAACTCAACGGATAAGGACCCCTACCTGTGTTGAGTAAAGTAGAGTATATATGCCAGTGAAAGCATACTGGGAGAGTTCAAACCTTTTGCCATCGAAATTTCTGTCATCAAAAGAGTTCTTCTAAAAGGCAGCAAAGTAATAATTCCGGCGCGCATGCGAAACGAAACCTTAGAGCGCATTCACCAAGGCCACATGGTCCAGAACAAATGCAAAGCAAGAACGAGAAGGTGCGTGTGTCGGCCAATTAATAATGGTGAAATCACTGATATGACTCAAATGTGCGAGGTATGCAGACGCAACACATACAGCCAACCGGCCGAACCACGATTGAATTGTGGGGTTTAACGTCCCAAAACCACAATATGATTAGGAGAGACGCCATAGTGGAAGGCTCCAAAAATTTGGGCCACCTGGGGTTCTTTAACGTACACCCAAATCTGAGCACACGGGCCTACAACATTTCCGCCTCCATCGGAAATTCAGCCACCGCAGCCGGGATTCGATCCCGCGACCTGCGGGTCAGCATTCGAGTATCTTAGCCACTAGACCACCGTGGCGGGGCAACCGGCAGAACCACTAACCATGAGATCATAACCTGAATATCCCTGGTATCGCATCGGTATGAAGCTTTTGCACTATGGGGGTAAGTCGTATCTATACGTGTATGATGCTCATTCGAACTTTCCAGAAATCGCAAAGCTGGAGGACACGTCATCGGCCATGGTCATCAACAAACTGGGGGCCATATTTGCAAGATATGGAATCCCGGTAGAAGTGTGGAGTGACAATGAACCCGAGTTTGCAAGTCTAGAATTCAGCCTATTCGCCGACAAGTACGACTTTCGACACGTGACATCGAGCCCAGAGATCCATCATTACAACGGCTTGGCGGAGAAGGGAGTTCAAGGGGTGAAAATGATTCTGGAGAAAATAAACGAAGCAGGCAAAAATTTCTGGCTGGGTCTGCTGAGTTACCGGACGACGCCTCTGAAAGGTGGACAATCACCGGGAGAATTGTTGCAAGGAAGACAACTAAAATCAACTTTACCAGATTTCAAAGTCCAAGAGAAGGTGAAAGTGCAAGGCCGCTTCCACCCTTTGAAGAAGGTCAAGTCGCGAGGATCTAGGGGAAAGCTTGGTCGCAGAAAGCCCAAGTTATTGGGCAGACGCACCCGAGATCGTACAACGTTTTAACTAAGGGAAACAAGCTCACTAGGCGGAACAGGCAGCATCTGTTACCCACAAAGGAAACTTTCTACCCCAATGTTTTTGGTGACCTCTGCGTCAATTACGTTTGCCACGTGACGCCAGCTACACCCGTGAATCCCGGCGAGAACCTCACGAAGAACGTGAAAATGACAGCGCAAGCAAGTGAAGATGATAATCCAGCGCAGGTGACAGCGCAAGCGTCCGCTCTTCTGCCTATAGGAGATCCAGTAGGCAGAGACGGCCCCACACGCGGCTACAATACTGCCACGTTCCATTTCCCAAGTTTTCGTTATCGTCCCAAAACACCACACGATTCTCAGCGCAAACCGCGCCTGCAGTTTTCGAGAAGGTTCCGGACTGTAGTAGATCATTTCGATAAGATCACGCCCACTGTGCGAACGGTACAGATTGTTCTGGAACCTACGCTACCGCCAGCGATAACGCTAGAACATTCGATGGCAAGAGTATAAATGCCGACGCGCTTCGCCGCTTGTCAGTAGTTGATCGAAGGCCGACGCTCCGTTCACCGCTACCAGTCCGAGACTGCTATCTGTGCGAGACTGCTGCTGTAATTGGACTTTCCGTTTACCGGGCACAGGTTCGCCCAAATAAACCGTTAAATCCCAACACGAAGTCTCCTGTCTTCGGCCACGTCACGAACCGTGACAATACGACCAAAACTTTAAACAAGTGCCTTGAACATTGTTTGTATTATGATGTTTTTTCAATTTCTTTTTGTGCAGAAGAAGGTTGTATTGCCATGTGACAAGACATGCGCCGAAGTATTCTGTATTTTAGTTACTTGGCGCAAGCTGCGCGCTTTCTTTTTTTCCTTGGCCACACGTGTTGGCCTGCCTATATAATCATGCCTCAAATAAGATTGCGGTTCTTTTTCCCATCGGATGTCAGCCTGCTTCTACATCAAATGCAGCTCAACAATACACAGAGGAAGAATGAGCCACATGCCTCGAAAAGCATAGCCGTGCAGAGAACCAATCTTAAAACGTCATATTTAATGGGCCTATGCAGCAGCGCTGTGGATCCAGCCTGCCAGCCATTTCCTCAGGCAAGGCTGTGTTCGCAAAACAACTGCGGATACTAGCTAAATTTCTCCAATAGGAATAACTAAACCTCTTGCTACACACACGCAGGCATAACTGAACTAAGTCACAGCCATTTTTTAGGTGGCATTTTATGCGAAATCAACCAGACCAACGCGATTAGGGCTGAAAAAATTTCCACATCTTTCTTAAAGTTCGAAACTCGTCCTCCTTGCCTACAGGGCTGTGTTATCACTCATTCATGCTGGCTGACCTGGGGACAGTTATCGCTATATGCGAGGCCTTTTTTTGCCAAGTCTTGACTGCAGTGACACTACATTTATTAGGTGGATGTGACACTGCAGGTGCTCTAGAGGTTGTTGCTGCTTATCTCATATAAGTACATTCTCCAGGAAACGTTGCACATTTTCTTTTCAAGTGCATAAATGGAAACTAAACTTTCTATGGTTCAGCCCGGCATTTTTTGTTTGGCCTGTTTTTCAGATCCTAAATTTATTTCTTACTGTCTTCTCAAGGATATAACAGTGCGGTTCTACTGCCAGTGTTTCAGTTCAAAGCATAATTCAGAGCTTCATAAACTCAGCACATGTGTCAATCATCGGGATGAAGTAATCAGTGCTGGTTTGCTGTTCTAGTATGAAATAACTTTCTGTTTGTGTGTGCGCAGATTCACCTAACTAATGGTGTGATGCCCTCAAGGGCCACTTAGAGTCGGCTGATGAGAGTTCCAAGGACTTCCATTTGGTCAAGTGGTCTACTATCACAATGAGATGGAAGGAGGACGGTACGGCACGCATAGTAGCTTCACGAAAACTGTTGGAATTGAGTTGCGGCAAAAGGCGGCCCGAAGCCTGCACAGCAGCAATTGCCTCCACAAAAAGAAGCATAGAGAGGTTAGTGAGGAAGCTTGCTGATTTCAGTAGAGTGTATGTTTTGTCATTCATGTGTTTTATAAGCTGTATCTAGTTTGGTGACTACAGTTCCCTGTTTGTGAGCACAGCTGCAAGCTAAATTTCCCAGCACAGAATTTCGAGCCATTGGCGCACTTAACTTGAATGCTTCGACGCAGCTGTTTACCTTGCTTTGACTGATGCTAGTGCTGCCAAGTGTTGAGCTCTGCATGTTTGCTGCACCTTATAGTACAGATAGAGTGGGAGTCGTTATGAATAGTAAATTTTTGTTTCATAGCTGCCTGACCGGTGAGTTGAATGCACTCTATCGGCAAGTCCATTTTTGCCATGTTTCAGCTCATGGCGATGTTCCACGCACCCTCATAAAATTTGTGGCCATATGCTTCTCTCTGCAATGAACCTCAACGCAGCCATCTAACGCGCTAATCTTTGCGATGCAGACGATCTTCCGTATGATCACCAGCCAACTACTGCTGACCTCGGTGCGCATCTTTGCCAGTGCGTCATCGGGGTGCGCACTGCCGTGCTTCGCAGCGGCGTCGGGATGCTACCACCTGTCGCTCGTCAACAGCCGACCCGGAATGACCATGCCGCCAGGGGAGCAGTGGCTACCGGAGGCCGAAGCATTGTGGACGGTCACATCATCATCGACATCAACAGCTCCACTGCATATAAAAGCACACCCGCCGCCGGCACCGCCCCGTGGGCTCCGTGACTGCACCACAACGCGGCCATCTAACCCGCTCACCTTTGCGATGCAGGTTAGTAAATCCTAGCGCTGTTTGCAAAAAAAAAAAAAACTAGCAATTACGTCTTGGTGCAGTTGACGAGCCCACGGTGCTGTCTCGCCATTGCCGCCGAATGTGTTTCCGTAATTCATTCCTTGTTGATGTTGTCAGGAGATGTGGAAACTAACCCTGGCCCTGGCGGAAACGATGCCGTGTTGACAGAACTTTAGAAAATAGCCGCAGGCCAATCTAAAGTAATCACCGAAGTACACAGCCTCAAATCTCAGCTAAACACTACTGATAGAACATTAACGAATTTATGCAAACGGATGACCAACCTAGAAGCACACTACCAGGCCATTATTCCTATCCAAACCGACATCGAAAAGATGCGGGCAGACACAAGCAGCATGTCTCGGAAGATTGAGGAGTTAGAAGACCGCCTAGACGACGCGGAAAATCGATCACGTCGAAATAACCTCATCTTTTATGGCATCTCCGACCCTACTGACAGCGGGACATGGAACGATTCCGAAAAAATCATTATCAATTTCTGCCATAATAATCTAGGAACAACCATAAAACCTCATGACTTCGAAAGACCTCATCACCTTGGTCGTCATTCGTTGGGTAGAAATTGTCCCATAATAGTAAATTTTGCATGTTACAAAACAAAGAACTCGATCCTATCAAATGGCCGGAAATTAAATACTAACTTTAGCATTGGAGAGGACTTTTCGCTCTCCGTTCGACACACTGCGAAAACAATTATAGCATTTGCCAATGCTAAATGTGCTAAGTTCTCCTTGCGGTATAAAACCATAGATATCGGTTCGAAACGTTATGTTTTGACAAATTGTCTAGAACAGTTAAAGAAATCACATAGCAGACGTCCTGTCACCATGTACCTACAAACCGACAACGCCCGGCACTTGCCAAACCACTCTCAATTTCCGTGATATTTACTAACATCTGCAGTTTCCTTCCAAAGCGCGAACTCTTATCGAACATTGTTTTGTCATCCGGAAGCAATATACTCGTACTAACTGAAACTTGGCTCAACGATAACGTTTCGGACGCTGAAATTCTGACTGACTTACCCGAATTCCTGCGTGTATCGAAGCGACCGAAAGTGTACTCGAGGGGGTGGTGTTCTGGTCGCAATTCACCGAGGTATATTATTTTCCGTTGTACACGTCAGCATCCGACATTGAATCATTATGGCTCATTTGTCACGCTCCTCCCCTAACAGGACTTGTTGGCGTTTGTTATAGGCCACCGCATACTAATCCAGACTTCTGTAAGCACCTAAACAATAGCCTAAGGCAACTTGTTGCCACTTAATTACCCCAATGCTCGCACCCTTCTCTTTGGTGACTTCAATTACCCGAACATCGAATGGCATAACCTAGGCATGTCCTCATTATTATGTCATGCAGAGGCTCAAAACTTCATTGGCGTATGTTTAAATTTTAACCTGAGTCAGTTAGTCTCGGAACTACACGCGTTACGCAAGAAACAGCAAAGATCCTAGACCAAATACTAACTAACAGTCCTGAGAACCTTTCATCTATCAGTTATCTCCCAGAAATCAGCGACCGGTAAAATCATACATGCCTTATTTTCATTCAGTTCTGCTCCAAAGTACACATCCGCAAAAACAATATGCCTTTACGACCGGGGAAACTACGATGCAATAACTGAAGACCTTAACACCTTTTTTTTCTGAGTACAAATCAGTGTTTCCCACTCGCACAGTACATGAAAACTTGTCAATATTCAAAAATAAATTAAGTGTGCTCACTAATAAGTTCATTCCGAGGGTAACCGTTCATACTAATCACAATAATCCATGGTTTTCTGTACGTTTCAAACGGCTGGAAAATAAAAAGAAACGGCTCTTCCGTTCGGCCAAACACCGTGACACGCGGAGTTACTGGGATAAATACTTCAAAGTAGAGAAATCATATCTAGTTGAGATCCGGAACGCCAAGCATACATTTTATCACGATGACTTACCAAAGCTATTAACCAGCAACCCCAGAAAATTTTGGCAACTTTTAAATCCAAAGCAGACTCACGACATCACACTGACTAACGACGTGCATGAACCAGTGAAAGACCATGAATGTGGGGAAATATTTAACAACGCATTCACATCTGTCTTTACTCAAGAACCTGACGCACCTTTACAGTCACCATCAGTTAACATCGAAGCAATCATGCCAACTATCTCATTTTTCGAAGAAGGCATTGCGTCCGTAATCGATAACATAAAGTTTTCA